ACCATAACCCTCTACCTTGAGTGGCTCTTGGGCCTTGTATTGGGTGAATATCAATTTAAAAAAAATAAAAAAAATAATGCTTATCCTTCATATAAAACCATGAATTACCAGCTGTGTAGATATCAAATAAATAAAAACCATCACTTATTATCAAACTTAATAGCCATTTGGTAAGAATCAATTTTAGTACCTATTTTGATCTGTTCAATGAAAGATATACAATGATGGCTCAACAAACCCTGATAGTTATTAGGTGAATTTCAATCAGAAATCTACAGAGATTATGAAAAATGCATTTGGTGAAGGATATTGACAAAGGAATTTATGTTGAAAAATACTTGCCCTGTATATCAAGTGCTTTTCTATCATTAGGCTATGAACTTATTGATGTACACATATAGAGCAACTATTTTGCCATTTTATTTATATCTAGTCCATAATGAATCTATATCAATAAACTTGTTCCCCCCCAACCACCACCACCTGTTGAGAAGTATGGAAAATTCACAAACTGACTTGAAAATGAGATCTTATTATTTACCAAGTCAAACCCTATTTATAAACATTTATTCAAAACTGAGCTGCTCATTCAATTTTCTTGCTTCAATTTACAAAAAAGAATTACTGTATATTTCCACATACAAGCCAACCTTTAGATAAGAGGAGGTAAAAAAATATAGCAAATTTTCATGAATTTATTCTATACCTGTAGTATAATACAACTGCTTACTGATTATATAAAGATGTTATTGGAAATATTACTTACTGTATCCTTAGAAATTTAAATAAATGAAATAAAACCAATTCTACATCACATTTTTCCAACACATATCCCCTAAAAGAGAAACCATTGTTTTGTTTAAATTTCATCATGTGATTCCTTGTGAATACTGATTCTCCTTCCTCTTCCTAGATCTAAACAGTTACAGCCTGATGTACTAACGGCCATTTACTTATACTTCAACATTCACAAAATGCCGCTAATAACACTAAGGTAATGTACGATAAATAGTACATTCCATTGCTGTGAACGCAATCAAAACTGTGTTTACATTTTCTCAGCTGAGCTTGCATGGATACAAGTTGATTTCATCGATATGGAATTTTTCTTTGAAGAGGCAATTTATGAATTTATACCAGTAATATACAAGACAGCAATAGTTTTATAACTTTTATTATCAGTTTATTTGATAATGTGAATTTTTCATGCACATGATTGGTTATTGCACTAAGGCCGAGGTTAGTCTACCAACAAAAATCACTCAGAATTTCTTTTTTAGAATAGTAGTACAAGACGACCCCCATTTTTTTAAGGGTGATTTTGGGGATTTCAAACTTGTCTTATATGTGGAAATATATAGTATTAAACAGTGATCTTCTCAGAAAAATTTCTCCTGGGTTATAATCATTTTCCTGTAGATTCCAGGCACCTGTCAGGCTTATGGCTGCATCATGTTGAAACACCAGTCCCTGTACAATCACCAAAGTTAAGCAATGTCAAGCCTGGTCAGTAACTAAATGAGTGACTGCTTGGGAATAACAGGTTCTGTAAGCTTGGATGTGCAGGTAGTGTGATGGCTAATGGATCAGAACTGTTAATCATTGAGCCAAGTTCCAATTCCAGCTTGGTTCATTATACTTATGTGCAAATACCTTTGGAAAAGGTATAAATCCACCTCTTCTCCCCTAGCTATGGGTCAATTAGTAAGACACGTATCACTCAAACCATTATTACTAGAAAAAAAATTGTATACAAAATATTTAGATTTCGGTATTAAATAATACATAGATGTTGGTATGCCAAAAAAAAAAAGAAAAGAAAAAAGTACCTGTCATGTTTGAGAACCTTTGTTTGACCTTCAGTCAATTCACAAAAGTAAACTTGAAGTTTTGATTATACATTTTAAATATATTCTATAAATGCAAGTTTAATAAAAGTCAGTAAGTACTAATCTTATAAACAATATTTTCTACTTAATACACAATAACCTGAACCAGAAACTAATGTATGCACAAAGAAATATTTTGCTGAAAAATTAATTATTTTTGCATTTGTTCTTACCAGCTGAAGTTCATGAGGAAAAACAGTACAATATTTGAACATTTGTCTAACCTCAGAAGAAAAAAAAAAAAAGGTTCATAAATTAAATTTAAATTGCCATTTCTTTGTGTTGGTTTAATTTTCAGGTTTATTCTCAAGGGATTAAGACAAAATTAAGCAACAAATATATAAGAAAAATATCTGAATGGTGGTTGGCTAAAAAAATATTGGGCAGGACTGAATTACCTAACCTGTGCACGTTGAAGTGGTTTTGTTTTAATATTCAACTTTTATAGCATAAGTATATGGCAATGTTGAAAAATATTGCATTTTTTTTTAATATGAAAGAAAAAATAAATTTGCTATTACTTTCGCCTTTACAACAATTCAATGTTAATGAGATTGAGCCTAACAATATGAAAATAATTTTGGAGGAAAAATAAACCCAAATTTAACTGTTAAAAAAATTCTACATTCAGCTAAAATAATTTGTTAGTTTCAATCAGTATTCCTCAGCCTATATCACTACAGAATATTTTAATAAGCATTCTATTTGATAAGTATTTATTTATCAATTCATGCGTGTGGACAGTTACAAATGCATCAGAGAAATCAAAAGAAATGTCAGAAGAATTATTTTATTCAGGGGGAGATAATTTGAGAGAGTTATCTTTCTTGAAATGTATGCCATGTTGACTTGCCTAAAATATTTTCTGAGACAATTCGCTTAAACTTTTTTGTTTTTATCAGATACTTGAGAAATAAGATTCCAGTTCTAGAATGAGATTTAATGTTTCTACATATTATTATCCTGTAAAAATCTTCAACGTTTTTGGCATTCTGTATGAATTTTTTCCTACTTAATAACTAACTTCCAACCTGGGTTACTAATCTTCTATAGCAGTGAATATTGGACAGTTTCCTCACAGATTAAGAGACAAAGCAACAGATGTGCTTCTACTGATGAATGCCGAAAACACCATGGATAGAACATGTGAGTAAAAAAAGGAAGTCTTCCTTAGGAAGGGATACAGGAAAGAAAGTTCTCAGTTTGTAGAATATTGGATTTATTTAGAACCCAGAAAATCTTTCCTTTCGAATTTTTACAAACTGCCGCTTACAATCAAGAGCTAAATTTTGGCGGGTAAAACTAAGAGAATTTAACACTGACAGGGCATATTGAAGGTAAAGAACGAGAAATAGTAAGTAACCTACGAGTTTAAGTGACGGACTACATAAGGACAAAGATATGTAGTAAAGGAGCAAGAGTTACTTTGAGCAAAAAAAAAAAAAAATGAAATTGTTGAGTCATAATCGCCTACGTTCTGAAAGGACATGGCACAATGTTGGTTTTCAATAAAATTGAGAGGCACATTCATTTGTCTCATAAGATTTATCTTAAACAAATTTAGACCCAAGAGTTAATCACCTAAAATATATCACTTAGTTTTAGACAAATTATTAGGGTCTTAAAGTTTAATGTTTGAGTTCAGTTAGAATTCAGTCAAAACACCAAGATGAAAATAATTTCAACTGGATCAATTGTTAAAAATTTACTAATTTAAATTCTAGACATCAACTGGGTAGCTTTCAGTGCCGCTTTAGGGTATGCCCTACCGATCAGTGTATTTATTCTACCACCATATTTCAATGGGAAAAATCAAAAACGGAAGGAGGGATGTCATAAGATTTAAAATAATAAAAATATAAAATTTGATTAAAAAAAAAAAAAAAAAAAAAAAAATTCATAAAAAACAAAATATTTGAATCCTTTAAATAAAAACATTCTCAATGTCTTACATATCGAGAAAAAATTCGGGACAATGTCTTTTTAAGGTAATAAGGTTGAATAATGCTAAAAACACTTAAAAAATCAAAAACTGATCCGTAGGACATAAGCGGCACCATTATGATTTCCCAGTGTAACTTGTTTTAAAATGATAGCACAACCACCTGACAGTATAACTGTAACACACTCCAAGTCTTTATTTTATAAGAAATAAACTATATAGAGAACAAGTGGAGCCACATATCATTCAGGAAAATAATTCATACACCTAATACAAAATATGATAATCTACTCATAATTAATAACTAATAAAAAGAAAAAAAAAGCATGGTACAGTGTAACCCAGATATAAGAGAGATTTTCTCTGGTCCCAAATTGTTCTCATACTTACCTAAACAAAATAGACCAAACCCGGATATAAGAGAAACCCGGATATAAGAGACTTCTCCGGTCCCAACAACTCATATATCCGGGTTACACTGTATAACATTTTTAATATTTGTAGTTTTCATCTAGCGAGATAAACAGATCTATATGCCATAATTTTTTTTTGCATCAATAGTCCAAAGCTGAAAGTAAACATTTTGAAACAATGTCTTTTACCAATAAAATGAATAATAGTTTGCAATTTGTTTACTTGAGATCTTTGAAGCAAGTTTACTACATAAATGTAATCATTATATTGGTCTATACATTTGAAGGACAATGAGCTACTTCATTGTAATTTATGTTTGCTCCTGATAGCAAAGATTGTGGTGTATCTACTAAAGATGATTTAATAAGGTATCTTTTAAATTCCAATATCATTATTGGCTGGAGCTTATAAATGGCATACTCATAACAGTAACAGTCATGTTCTTAGCTTGAAATTATATGGATTTAAATCCTAAGTGAAATAATTTAGTTAAAATGAGTTCATTGGTTGTTTTTGCTTAGTGGCATATCAACCTCTATGGATTATTTATTACCAAAATCTAAAAAATTTTGTACGCAAACTTTCTCTTAAAATAATTGTTTTCAGTGATACATGTCTTACTAATTAACCCATAGCTGGGGGGAGACGAGGTAGATTCATACCTTTCTCAAAGATATTTACGCATAAGTGAATATGACAAACTCAATTTGTTTGGGACTCGGCTCTCCGATTAACAATGCCAGGCCATTATCCATTACACCACTGAGTCTTCCCAAGTGGTCACTCATCTAGGTACTGACCAAGCTCAACATTGCTTAACTTTGGTGATCACACAGGAACCAGTGTTTTAATGTGATGCGGCCATAAGCCTATGAGTTCTTTAACAGCAAAAAAGTTCGGGCCAAGTATCCCTTGACTATGTTATTTGCCAGATTTAGTACAAATTAACAGTGCAGAGAAAAATCAAAGATCTTTCACTTTAATGAAGGGTACTTAAAATTGTTTTTAGCCTGAATAGGATCCTTTTTATATTGGTTCCAAATTGTCTTATTTGATAGCTCAATACATTTGTAGAATCCTATTAAGGAATTGTAGAAAAATGCAATAGATTTAAGTTATATAACTTAAAATTAACTCATTTTTGTACATTTTTTTTGACTAATTTAAATTTCCACATTCACGTACGTTAACCAATCAACAATATTGTGAGCTGAGACCTTTCAAAAATTTTCAGACAACTATGTTTATCATTTGCTATGGAATTTGTAGGATCACATCAGAAAATGATCAACAATATTTCCCCCCCCCCTCCTTAAAATAGATATTTAAAAATTGGGAAATATTTATTAACCAATAAACTGAGTTAAGTAAAATATAACTTTTTTATTTCTGGAACCTAAATATTTCTTATAAATGTTCATGATGTTAAGTTATTCATTTTTTCCACAAACCTTTGACCAGGGTCAGTTGCTCAGATGGTTGCAATAGACTAAGTTTATATTAAACTCAAAATTAACTCGTTTTTGTACAATTTTCTAACGGGGTTCCACATATTGCTTAGATATTAGAGAAGCCATGGAAAAGTTTTTTGTTCAATTAAGGAAGGATTCCAAAAGTAAAGAAAATTCTCATGGTTGGTCGTTTGGTAAGATTTTAGAAGGTAGATCAAGCACTGCCTTGTGCGCAAGAGGTCATGGGATAGATATCTAGTAAGACATAGAAATCCTCTACCTGTTCAAGTGCAACAACTATGTGGACTTAATTCCAGAGCTTTGGAGAAATTCAGCCAGGCTGTCTAACTTTCCACATGTATATTTCTAGGTGCAAGATCTCCATCAATTTGGATCCAATGACATGATCCATTATCCTGCTAGAACAAACAATGTTGGAGTACATAGAATCCATAAACAGATGGAAATAGTCACAAAGCAATACAATAATATAGCAGTATTATTGGATCATGCCACACATTGTCAGTTCACTAGGTTCCAGTTATTGATGCCACAAGTCATGTGTCATTTTTAAAGGATACCTTGGTAAGTATTCTGCTCCTCTATTCTAATGAAGTTAAACAGTGACTCAATTTCCTGCACTGAATGTGGATGTGATTAGAGCCATTGTCCCTTGTCTTTTACTACAGATAATTCTTTACACTGTGGGTAGTAACACCTCCATCAGATATTCAAGACTTGGAGAGGTCAAGATTGTTGACATCGGGAAAACAAGGATGAATACTTAGGGCACAATAGATACAAGTATGTCAAATGACCCCCAAATTCAGAAAGGAATTGTCCCATCTATCTGCCACCCACCATCAGTGGTCATGAGCCTAGACAATGTTCACACTGACTCACCAGCTATCAGAACACCTGGGATTCCATGACATCAAGGTATGGTGGTGCCACCTACCATTACCTTTACATACTGCTATCTCATTGCTTTTGCCATGCCAGTTTCAGTTCTAACACAATTTGAACATTTTCATTGCTCTTGATATTTCTTAAATTTATATTACAACAGTAAAAATCATAAAACAGAAAATGAAGCAACTGATGAAATTAGCATCAGAAAATGAAGTATTGCATTGTTATTGAATTTTTAGAACATATTGTACTGAATCTATAACTACATACAATTTATTTCCTATAAGGACTTCAGAGGCTAAGGCTAAACAAGGTGTTGCTGAGTACTGTTGAGGGAAATCACTTGAATACAGACCATGGTCAGAACAGTCTGTGAAAGCAATTTTAGGCAAACTTGGACTTTCATGCCCACAGAAAAAAAAATTGCTTTTTACATTGACACCGTTATTTTAACTACCTTCCATCCTCGATAATGTTTGTTTTTTTAAAAAGCAACAATTAGAATTGGAATAAAACCTAAACATATGAAAGTGAATTTATACATTTTTTTTGTTCTTGAGAATTTACAGCAAAAATATTTAACAGTGTTTATATTCAAGAATAATTTTATATTTACATTTTTAAAAAAACTAATATGATTAAAATTAATGCAATATTTATCATCTACCAATTTATCAAGAAATAAATATTAATTTTTTATTCATAAATTTATAAACATTTACTAAATTATTAAATTCTTATTTACCATATAAATTTTGAATCAACTGGCAATTAGCCAGTGTTTTGCTAACCATTCCAAAACAATCTAATAAATAGTAGCATTTATTATTTTTGTTGTCAGTTCTCAAGAACAAAGAAAATGAATAAATTCACTTTCACATGTTTAGGTTTCATTACAATTAAAATCATCGTTTTTGAAAAAGGATAAACATTTCCGAGGGTGAAGGTAGTTAAAATAATAGCAGTGTCAATGGAAAAACCGTCTTGCTGAAACACCAGGTTTTTTTTTTTTTTTTGCAGACTTGAATATTGGCCAAGTTTTATTTAAAAAAAAAAAAAAAAAAAAAAAACACGGTACAGAAAAAATGTGCTATGCAACAGAAAAGTCTTTCATCAAAAACTGAATAATAAACCCCATTTGAATATTACTGCCACTTTTTCATTTGCTTGTGAAGGTTTTTAAAATGAACAATGTATGTACAAAGAAATATAAAATTATCTGCACATACAGCATACACGCTTATGCGATTATATATCTTTCGATACATGACTGACGAGGCAGATTTTTTTTTTCGTAGTAGGTTGCCATTTCTTTCTGCGGTGGACCACTTGCCATCCAAGGCTAGAGAACCCGGTATGTCCTGCTATTTATCCATAGCTGGGGGGAGAAGAGGATTCATACTTTTCCCAAGGGTATGAGCGCGTAAGTGAATGTATTGTGAATGAATTCGACTGGAATTTGAACTCGGCCGCTATCAATTATTCCACCGTGCCTCAACAACCATTACTAACTCACTATGCTTAAAAAAAAAAATTAAAAAAAAAGTAACTTTATAGTGAGTTAGTAGTTACTAAGTCATTAATTTCTCTGATAACTTACTTTTTAAAAAAATATATCAAGTCAGAGAAACCTTTTTTTTAAAAAAAACAAAAAAACATGATCTTTTCGAAACAAGTGTTTTTTAAACTTATTGAGACATAGGTAATAATAATAATAATTCTGTTAATTTTTCGGCTTTGAAGATAAATCTGAAAACTCGAATCTAATGGAAAACAACGTCTGCATTTTGTTTGATTTATTTTTTGCGCAATACTCACACGATCAATATTTTCCACTTTTCAATTTTCACAACTTTAAAAATCTAAATGCTTAACTCGGAACTGCAATGCTAAAAAAAAACAAAACAAACAAGACAAAATTAAACAAACTCGAATTAATTACTTTTAGTTTTAAACCATGGGTAAAAAAATAAAAGATTTTAAACTTAAGACTAAAAAGAACTACCTACATCCTACAATGATACAAAAAAAAAAAAAAAAAAAAAAAAACAAACAAACGAAAAAACAAGGTCACTGACCATTGCCTGTGTCAACTTCAAGGTAAAAATGTTTTTACAAGACTAGAAAAAGTATCTATGCCAAATAATGAAATTTTTAGGCTATATAAATGAAGTTCTCAAAAAAACTAATTTCTCAATGTTTATGAAAACGGAATTTTTTTTTGTTATACCACTAATTCCGAGTTCTTTCATAGTTTTTCTTTTCTATAGACTGTTAGTGTTAAGTTTTTTGCTTATATAGAGGAGAGAAACAAAATTTTTTTTCACTTAATTTAATGAATTTAAATAATTCATTCATACGTCTCGAAAATCTGGATTGATTGAATAATTTTAAAAATCGATTCAAAGTGGTTTTGAACAAAAACTAATAATCCCAATTAAAGTTTAAATTGCCACTTTGAGTTCGTAATTTAAGTTAAAATATATATATTTAAAAAAAAAACTGCTAAGTTTAAAAAACTCATACACAAAGAAAACTTATGTGAGACTACAACACAAAGCAAAAGTGGACTTTACTCATAAACAAGAAGACTGAGAATAAAACTCGTTATCCTAGCAAAAGTTAAAGTACAAAGATCCATTGAAAATTCAAATCATCTTTTTCTTTTAAGAGAAAAGTCTTGTAAAACAAAAAAAAAAAAAACAAACTTATTTCAAATACAGAAACGCAAAATTCCACAAATAAAGAAAAAAAAAAGCATTTCAATTTGATTTTTTCGTACAGAATGTGATGAAAAAATTGAACTCTAATCAAGGCGTGGCTCTAACTACTAGAACAGTTAGCCCTATTGGTTTTAAATCCCTAAATTTTATGTCGCAACTGAACAGGATATTTAAATACCAAAAAAATGTTTATTTATTCCATTGCGTTATTGCATGTATGTGCACAAAATTTACGTTAAGATTAACTACAGCTGATGAATACCACCATCCAATTCAAAAAAGAGAGACCTATTTTAAAAATATAAGTCCCCCAACTTACTCTCTAAAAGCTGTATCTTTTGAAGACCATATTTGACAACTTAAATGTAGAACAACATATCTAACTTCAAGCTGTTACCATTTATGGAAACACAAGATACATATACTCCTTAACAACAGACACTGCACTCAAATTTGTGGAGCCTTTTTAAAACTAACATTTAAAACTTTTAAATTAAAAGTCAATACTAAGTCTGAGTCAGCAATTTTTACTCGAGATCGATTGGCTACAACATTTTTTAGACTAGGAATAAAGCCTAAAGGAATAACCTCTTGGTCATTGACTTGTTTTTTTGTTTTTTTTTAACTGTTTCAACGAAAAATAAAATGTACAAAAAAAAAGAGAAAATTAAAAAAAAAACAAAAAAACAAACAATGTCTACAAAATAAAGTAAATTAGAAAAATGTGCAAAATAGCGAAAATAGATAAAAAAAAAAAAAAAAACTTTCA